ACATTCAATGTTCGAATGATTTATTAATTAATAATCTCCACCAAAAAAAGTAATCATTTGTATTAGTCATAAATTTCCTGAATGATTAGTATTCAACTGAGATCAAACCGACAAATATTCTTTAAAACAAAACCAACAAATCGAATTGAATCATTTCTTCTTTTGAAGTGCTTAAACTGTTTTTTCTGCTCACCTTCACAAACACAATTTTGGATTTCATACTTACAAATACTTAAAATCGCTAACAACAAAATAAAATGATCAACAATACGTAAGAATATTTCTACACTGTCCAATGGCTAAAAACAACTCATAGTCAACGTTCCTCAGAAGTACTTTCCAAAGGTTGCCTCTTCAGTCACCGAAAAATGATTGGATTATCCATTACCTATGAGAATTTTCGAATGAAAATGCAGAATTCACGTCAATTCTAAATTATTCAAACGAAAAAATCGTTCAACCGATTGAACAAACGTAATTACGCGGATAGTCCTCAAATATCAACACATTCCATCATACGTATATGAAAAGATTGATAAGAATCATCTCCGGAGGAAAGAGCCAATCAAATTGGTGAATGTATCATAATAAACTTACTAATTATAAGTTTTCATTCCACTGCTATTACTCACATATATTGGATGGTAATTCACATGAATGTTGAAACGATTCAAATTTGAATCGCTCCATAAATTGATCAAAGAGAAATAAACCAACAGACACAAACAAACACGTAAAATACAAAAAGACGTAAATATGATAACGTAAATAAATGAATAAATAAAATGAATTACCTGATTGAGAAATGAGCACTTGGTAAAGAATAATTGTAAATGCGTTGAAACAAATAATGCAAATTGAATAAAACATCATAGTGTGATAGCACCAAAAAAAAACATAGTTACAACAGAGATGATGTGAAGAGTGGCCGACGAAGTGAGGCTTAAAAGCACACTGGTAATATTCTATAAAATAAATCAAAATATTGAGATAAGATTTTTGATATGGGATTTTCTTTTTGAGTAAATCCATTCGTTAAAGCAGTGTTATGTGGATATGAAAACTGACCGTAAAATATCCATTCCTTCTATGTGAATTCTCAACAACTCATTTTTCATTTATGAGCGTTTTCAATTTAATGTTGAGAAGAAAATTTATCCGTATGAGGCAATCATTTACTGCGTACTGATTTCTGCTTCAATCATTGACGCACGAAAGGCGATAACAGTCATGGCACAATGTGTTAGTTTTTGAGAAAGCATCAGAGTAATTTCTACAGAGTATTCTTTTAAAAAAATTTGCTAATAAGCTATATTCTAAATTTGCAGAGTCACCTCTACAAACACATCGCTAACTTAATGCAACTACATACCAGTATGAACATAATCGTCTGCGTTGCTCTTCAATCCAATTTGATCGGGAAACGTATATGGTGATCATAAGTGTGCGGTACAAATACACGAAACAGTGGCAACACCTTTAGAAATTCACCTTTCGGCGAATTACAGTAATGATGAAGACGAATGTACACCTGCAATAATCGATGATTGGCATCACTAGTTTCGATAGAGCAATGTGCGAAAATTCGGATGGCTTATTGAATACCTCTGGTCGATTTTTGATTCCGGGCAGCCAGTCAAAATCATCAGCACAACCCTCAACATTGAAATAACCCTCTTCGTTGTCCACCGTCGTAAAGCCCATCTTATCGTCCGGATCGATATGATCATAGAATATTTTACCCTTAAATTCAAAGATATCGGTAAACCACTCGATTTCGAGCAAAAATTTCCTGTTGCAAGCCTAGGCCAGGCTATGATTTGGCTTGTATCTAATCATCCTAAATTCAAACCAAAAATCTGTGCAAGTGGAAATATTTTTGAACGACTAAACAACTGAAATTACGATTATCACAGTGAGCTTGATAATCAAATATAAAATTGGGAAATACTGAATCTAATGGTCTGAAATCCAAAAAAGCAACAATTACTGACTAATGTGATCGCTGATCACACCAACCGCAATTAATTTTCAGTGATCTCATTCAAAACGCAGTCAAACTCACATCTCCAGGCCCATCCTGATCGAACAGCTCAACCAGTGTTCCCAATACAAGCGTTTGATTCTTGTGACATAGCACTCTGCCAGTTGCCCAAACACATTCCGTATTTGCGGAGACCACTTTCAAACACACAACAATGATTAGCAGTATTGAGATTGGAACAAAATTCATCGCTTCTCTTCGTTTCCTCCTTAAAACAAAGAACATCTGTGATGTTATATGACCAATGACGAACTCAAACTCATCTACGATTGTGCAATACGAAAAATGCAATAATCAAAATCGCACGTTCTAC